GCGTTGTTTCGTCTTTTCTGGCGCGTAATGCGCGGGAACCATTTTTGGACAGAATTATCACCGGTGATGAAAAACGGATTCTATATGCGAATTTTAAACGCCAAAAACAATTGCTCAGTCCCAGGCGAAAACAACTTCCAACCCCCAATTTCATCCGCAGAAAGTGATGCTTTGCATTTGGTGGGACATCAAAAGAGTAATTCATTTCGAACTTCTCAATCCACAGCGAACTGTCAATGCACAGATCTATAGTCAGCAATTGTAACGTTTAAATAATCAGAAACGCCCTTCACTCGTCAATCGGAAAGGTGTTTTTCTTCTCCACGACAATGCACGTCCACATGTGCCACGTTTTATGCAACACAAGATTATGGAGTTAGGTTTAGAAGTTCTCCCCTACTCACCATATTCTCCAAATATGGCACCATCAGATTACCATCTTTTGCGTTCGCTGCAACACCATCTTAATGGAAAAACGTATGCAAATGTGAAAAGTGTTAAAGAGGACATAGACATGTTTTTTTTGCTTCAAAGTCAACTGATTTATTTAATCAGGGCATTAACAACCCGATTGTAAGATGGAAAAGCATCATCGATAAGAATGGAGACTATTTCATTTCATAACTGTTTTGTTTTCGTGTATAAATTGTTCGGGTTTTTTCATCTAAAAAAAGCGACATTAATTTCTTGACGACCTAATATATTATACAACTTACCCTGTCCATTACAACAATAACAACTAAGTTAATCGTGGCTGCTGTAAAAGATGTGGCAATTTTTGCGTATTTTCTCCAAAAGAGAGTTTCACTGGAGAACATCAGAGTCACAATGATTATGCGATAAACAATCACTGCAAAAACAGCTATCATTACGGAAAATAACTGTAAAAAAATAACAAGAAAAAACATTCTGAAACTATTGTTAAAAGAAACAGGAAATTTGCGAACAGTTTTTAAGATCTGAATAATCTTTACTTGAATCACAGAATGAAATTAAATGAGAATGTTGGCTAGCTATGAAAGTATCAATGACTGAAACAAAATTTTGATTTGAGTTTTATTCTAGAAATATTCCATACTAACACTCTGCGTATGACGTCAGTGAATAAATTACATAAAATGCAAATATTTTCAAAATACTTTCTAATTTCAGGTTACGTTTTACTGAAAGTAATGGAACTTGATTGTAATATAAAAATCGTTTTTAAATCATACAAGGAAATGTATGTTTAAAAAAAGTTCCTAAAATGCTATTGAATTACTTCAATGTTCTATTTGGAAAAATTTGTTCCATGATTAGAAGAACTGATTGATTAACAACATTTAGAAGAACTGATTGATTAACAACATTTAGAAGAACTGCTTGATTAACAACATTTAGAAGAACTGGTTGATTAACAACATTTAAAAGAACTGATTGATTAACAACATTTAGAAGAACTGGTTGATTAACAACATTTAGAAGAACTGGTTGATTAATAACATCTAGAAGAACTGGTTGATTAACAACATTTAGAAGAACTGATTGATTAACAACATTTAGAAGAACTGGTTGATTAAAACATTTAGAAGAACTGATTGATTAATAACATCTAGAAGAACTGGTTGATTAACAACATTTAGAAGAACTGATTGATAAATAATATTTAGAAGAAATGGTTGATTAATAACATTTAGAAGAACTGGTTGATTAACAACATTTAGAAGAACTGGTTGATTAATAACATTTAGGGTTATTTAAAATTTACTTAATGTCTTCTTTTCGGTAGATTGTTTCTTTTCACTCAAATATGAATTAACTCAGTCGCTGAGTATTTAAGAAAAGTAGATATCAAACAATTATTATTGTATTAATTGTCTTATGCTTTCGAAGCGTGATCTATTGACCGGTACTTAGTATGAAATTACACCATAACCAGACTGATAACAGTTATTTTATAAATCTTTCATTACTGATCCTGTACTGTGTGTTTCCAGTAAGAAGGACTTAATATTATCGCGACGGCACAACTTGTGAACCGCACGTCACTACCGACGAGGCCTTTCGGTCAATACCGAAACTCATCAAGTCGTGGAAGGCAACACACAAAATCTCTGTGAAAACGCTATCTATACCAGTCACTTACAGCATATTAATTATTATTATGGTGACGAAGTGTTAGTTTGTGTGCCATTACATCACTAGACCCCTCTGTAGGAGACTTTCAGTTTGCTTATATTGCAGAAATAATTAACATCGTTGTTATTTGTTTCTACATTAAAATCTAAAAGTTTCACATATGCTTACCATTAGCAATACGAGAGAATTGACTCCAAGAATTCGGGCTACTTTATCCCAGAAAGGTAGAAATGGCTCAAAAGTCTAAAACAAAGAGTGAGAGAAGCACGAGAGACTTTTCAAAACACCTTAAACATTTTGGGAATATTAATAAAGCAAAAGAGCAAGAAACATAATGGATACCACAATGGCATGTGTTTTTTATATAATCTGAACAGTCATTCATCCCACAGACACATAATCAATGTACAAAAAAGATACATGTAAGTGTATACAATTTTTAGAGCCATGCGTTAAATGACGGAATACAGAGTTAGGTATTTTTAAATCAATAATTAATTTGAAAATGTAACATACGATGAAAATAAACATTTCTATCACATGACCAACAAAAAACAAACTCGAGAGGCTATTACATTTTATTAAGCAAATTTGCGTTTATGACTGGCTTTTAGTATCATACAAGTTAAATTTATACACCAATTTTGACAATAATTGTATTTCAATTGCACTTTTTCACAATAGATGGTGCTGTAAAATAATATTTTTTAACAAATCTTTCAAATCAAAATTTTGGACATACATATGTACAGAAGTTGAGTTCGTTCTATTAAAATGATGTTGGAGCTTCACCATGTGGTTACAGTCCATTTTGCCACATCTGGTCCTGCTCTATCTGAAGACCATGCACCTTGACAATAGTTCTGCAGCGTAGTTTCCGTTGCAAAAGGCTCCACCGTAAGAAAGTCATGTATAAGTTACACCCCTCTTCTCGGCTGGCTTTCCATAATTGATATATTTACGAAGACGACTGTTTTATGGCGCCCGCTTCAACAGTCCAATCACACAGTAACCATAAATGTTGCATTCTGCGACTTAACAGGTATGTCTTCGAATGGAATAGCATGAATCGCCGTTTCAACTTTCAGATGTTGGTGTATGTGAGTGTTGAACATATGTGTCATTTTTCCAGACGGAGATCCTTATTGACTATGTTGCGTATTTTTGCCTTGGGCAATGTGGGCAGCTTTTGTCACTAACCTTTGTTTAAGTGGATTCTCACCTGTTACAATACGCCGTATTTTGCTTACCACGGCGGGGGTAAAATTTCTGGATGATTGTGGTTTCCCATTTTAATGCATATTCTTTTGTTTTCTAATGTCTTATTAAGTATAAGGGAAAGCTCTATCTTGGAAATCCTAAGTCTCCGATCTGTACACATCTATATAATCTGAGTGTATGAATATTTTGCGTTAGAAAGGGCTGTTACACACCTTCCCCAAAACAATACATTTTTGGTAGCATTACTCTATCTACGAATGCCAAACAATGTCAAAATGTAGTTCTTATACATTCTATTCCATCACGATTTTATATCAGCTGTGCTTATCACGTAACTTGCTGATTTGCATATTCAAAACAGTTTTAATATAACCTTCTGTATTATTGTGAATGCCACTGGATATAGATTATTCCAATAAAAAATTAGTAGCTTTTTGAAAGAAAACTATGCGCAAAAAGAAGGTGTAAATATAAAGAGTTTAGAGATAATATAAATTCATGTTAATAAAACTAAGAGTTCTTAACTGTTATCCACCATAACTTTTACTTTGGCAATACTTTAATGAGAAAATAAGATAGAGTTAGTTAGATAAAGTAGTTTTGATATTTAATATAAAAAATGTGGTAGTGTGTTAATTTCAGATCCCTGTGGTGGGCACAGCGCAAATAGCCCATTGCACAACTTTGAACTCAAAAACAAAACAAACAAATTAATAATAATTCACTACGATTAAATCTTAATAGGGTTTTAATGATATTTAAATATTTTATACGTTTCGTGTGTGATGTATTATTTCGATCACAGTTCTGTTACGTTTCGCGTATGATGTATTATTTGAATCACAGTTCTGTTATGTTTCGTGTATGATGTATTATTTGAATCACAGTTCTTTTACGTTTCACATATGATGTATTATTTCGATCACAGTTCTGTTACATTTCGCATATGATGTATTATTTCGATCACAGTTCTGTTACGTTTCACATGTGATGTATTATTTGAATCACAGTTCTGTTATGTTTTGTATATGGTGTATTATTTGGATCACAGCGAACTCTTCAATAAAAGAAAATGAAACTGCAAGTAACACAACAAATACTTCTTCCAAGTGAATCTGTATTTGCATCCACAACAGTGACGTACATTGTAAAGATTTGTTATATTAGACTGATTCAGTGATCATCAAAATACAGCTTCATCACGAATAAAGATTTGTTTTGTTACTTGTAGTTTGATTTTCCCTTATTGAATGGGTTCACTAAAGGCAACCTCGTGGTTACTAAATCAGATGACGTTATCATCTAAAAATATCAAAATGAACTAACCAAATCATCAATGCTTTACTTTTTATCAGTGTGACTGAGTCAGGTTCTCATATGTAATTGTTTAAATACTTGTTTTATCAAAGTACTGAAACATGGTTAACCTATATGCTTTTATACCCCGATATATTCAAAAACTTTAACCATCTAGTTCATAAAATAAATAAAGATGATTCATAAACCCTTAATTAAATATTAATGATAAACATGTATATCATGAAACGAATGTGAGCAAAATAAAATATATAATTTTGAAACTTTTACTTTGAATTCAGACTTGTGTTTGGTTCATCTATAGTTCAGTATTAAGCTTGAAGGTTTCTAACGCTGAACTCCAAGCAGATCGCTTAATGCGTAGCTTTGTGCTTAACAACAAACAAACGGACCTGCTTAGAGATTTAATAACAAAAGAAATGCACTGTTTTGTTCATTCAATCGCGGTTTAAATCTATTATACAAAGAGTAAATTTAATTCAGTAATTTATTGCTGCTATTGTTAGAATAATCTACCAATTTTATCATTTATCATAACAAACAAACTGCACTGTTTCGCTCATTCAATCTCGTTTAAGTCTTTTGATAATTACTTTATAACTTATACGTTGAATAAATGTAAAGAACCAAAAAGAAGAGGACAATTTAAAAGCCTCGCAAAGGTAAACAGGGAACAGGAATTTCGTATAAAGGAAAGTCTGATGATTGATAGAATTAAACCGTGATTTAGTGAGCAAAACAGTGCATTTTTTATCATTAAATCTCTAAGTGTTCGTGATATGGTAACATTATTTATTTGTAGCTTTCGTACACACACAACTATATTCATATAATTAATGGATACCTTAGTAAGCACATTAAACCCATCCATCTAAATCAACAAAATAAAGAATTACCATGGTAACAGGGTTGAACTTGTAGGTGAAAACTTTAGCTTCATACTCTGGTCTAATCATTTCCTAAGTAAAAAAAAAAAAAAAAAAAAAAAAAAACTCGTAATGTAATAATAATATTTTTAATTACTTTCAATACTTCTTTGTCAACAAAAGCCGTAAAATAGAGTGTGAAGTCAGTGATAAATAACCTTTCATTTTCATCTAAACAAAAGCTTGATACTTTCTTGTTAATTAAGTTTATGTAACAACCTGCAACATTACTGCGAAATTTCGAAAGCCTGAAAACAACATTAACATTATTCTACAAATGTTTGATATACATATTTTATTAAATAATGTCAAAATAGAAATTGAGTTTAATCTGGAAGAAGAATATTCTCTATTTTAATTCCTGCTATTCACATTTGTTTTTTTTCAACCCGAACGGCACATTAAGTGACACAAGGGCTAAACGACTAGATCAGTTAATAACGTTTATAAAGCTCCCATAGCTGAAAGTGCGGGGCTCGTTCGGCAGCATATAGTACTTTGAATCTTGGACCTTCAGATACTAAACTCAGCACGCTACCACACTTGACTGTTGCTATTCCACTGGGAACTCTGAACATAATACAATCTTTGAGCAATAAATTAAGTTTGAGTAAAAAAAGGTATATTTATCCCAGACTAAAAATTATTATTCTTGCCTCGAAAACTTAATGTACTTTAACGTGGTTAACCTGTAAGAAACAGGGAAGATAAGAAACTTTCATTTTCGTAATTTCCATTTGTACCGAAACTTATTCGGTAGGATCATATAAAAGGATACTCACTAGCTGAAACAACATAAAATTCAAATATGATTTAAGATGGCTTTCAAGCTAAATATTTCTGTATATGAAATTTACCTTAAGCATTAAAATGGAAATTTTAAAGACAAATATCTTGGAAGTAGTTCACATAGGGATAACACAAGTTATATTCAGTTATATAATTCCAGAACATTTTACAACAAATGTAAGTAGATAAATAGTTTTGTCAGCATATAGTCTATTCAACTACAGAACTTAAAATATAAACATGTAAACATTTTCTTGTGACCTATTTCACAATCAAAACTTCCGTTATTATTATGTACTAGTATATCTAGAAAAAGAAGTTGGTCTTCTACGATAAATCTTATATTTTCATGCTGATTATTAAGATATTGAAAAAGCAGAGTTACATGTTGAGACTGAATAACGATGAAAAAATATCATCAAAACAACTTCGATAATTGTAGCAAAGAAACAAATTGGCAAGTGATGGCGCTAACCTTCATCCTATAGCATTTCCATCAATTTGATTATAAATGTTATTACTAAAAAGCAAATTCAAAGCTATTTTAATAATTTGTTCATTGCAAGCACACTGTTCTAAAACCTTAACTAAAAACCAGCAAATTCATTATTATATCTATCTATAATAATAAAAGGGCGTGTCTGTGGGTCTGTTGCGTGTGTGTGTGTATGTGTAACCGCTATAACTCTAAGAACCTAGAAAAATTAAATTTTACACACATACTAAGTGGACCCTGAGGGAGTGCGGCTGGGTATTATTACTTATCCACGTGCGTGTGCATCGTTTTAATGAGGGAAGCAAGCGAAAAACTACATATAAAAGAAGTGTGACTGCCATAGCTCCAAGGGGAAAGAACTCAGGGCACCTGAAATTTTGCACCAATACTGAGGGTGTGCACTTGGGTATTACTTATCTTATCCACGTGAGTGCACGCATGCGCGTGTAAATCTTTTTAATGAGGCAATCTAGCAAAAAACAAATAAAAAAGATTATGTGACAGCCATAGCTCCAAGAGGAAAGAACCTAGAAACCTGAAATTTTGCATTCGTACTAAGTGGACCATCAGGGTGTGCACTTTGATAATGTTACTTATTCAAAAGCGCATGCGCATTTTTCTAATGTGACAAACTCATGAAAACCTACAGAGAAAAAATATTTTCTTATGTAATAACTTCTAATATATAGGAAAAAACCATTGCGATTTGATAACAAAGTGTTCCAACAATGTCGTTTATGTTATGTTGCTTAGCATTAAAAATATAACATAATATTGTTGTTAGTATATGTGTTAAAGTATAAAATAGAATAGTATAAACTATAAAACGAACTATTCTATCTGGATAAATTCATTTTCGTCTTTTATGATTCCTCTTATTTCGAGAATCACACGTGACGTGAACACACTGGCTTTTATATAGGTTATATAAC